GTACAAAACATTTGTCATTTTTATTTTTTTTACGAACAATACCATAAATAAAAGTAACGCAATTATGCGTAACTAATTTGCTTGGATTATAAAACATTTTCCTCAAATCCACCAACAAAGCTAATTCATCATTTTCTCTCTACTTCCCAAGCGTTGGTGATTGTGTCGTTCCTTTCTCTGGTATCAAGCCAGGGCTGTCAGCAGAACTTTGTATCGTCACTGTACCAGTGTATCGGCAACCGCAGTCTGGATAGGGAGAACTTTCTGTGGGTGGCTAGGAACGGGGTCTTGGGGTCTGAGCCCACTGACGTCGCTTCCTTCACCGCCAGAATTTGTGTGTAAGTTGATGTGGTGGGTTGAGTATAGGTTGACAATATTGTGAATACGTGGGTTTTTTTGTCTATATTTTCCTTCTCACTTTATCTATTAGTTTCAAATTTGTACACAGCATTTAGAGATCAAAAGGAATTTGGCTGATATTATTTGAGTTTATCCCACAGAATAGCATTGCTCTACATAGCGCATACAAAGAACCCATTTTCACCTTTGTCCTCATTTTTGTACCATGTTGCACTAGTTCACATCATTTAGGCCTACCACTAAAAAGTCCCAATGATCTTGCCATATTGTAAAGCTTCAGTAGTCTAACAGTTTGCATATAATATTGTTTTTCTAAAGTTTCCTTTGCCTTCTGAGATCATGGTTAAGATTAGTAAATAGTAGAGAGCAACTCATTTCGTAGGTTTAAGACACGTTACGGAAATAATGTTAAAGTGCCATCAAGGCCTTCTTTGATATCATGGGAGATCTTCCATGATTAAGGACCTATAGAGAATCAGAACTAAATATTCCCAGATAAAGCGACCACTTCAGGTCAAGCACACATCACTAGCACCTAGCACCCATTTAAACCTTACCAGGGTGAAAAATTCTGTAGATGAGTCCCATTAGACGTCTGTCCGAAGAAGATATCTGCAGCTGTAACTTTCATACATCTCAACGGCCCGCATTCTCAAGGCAGACCTTCATCTACGTCAGTGCCATTTTCCTGTTCGCGAAGCTGATAAGAGAATAGCAATGTGTTCATGATTGCTCGATCTGATCGTCTTGAAAAGCGTGAACATTGCCCCATTGATATTTCGTCTCTTGGCAAAACCTATTATATGCAAACTGTTAGACTACTGTAGCTTTACAATATGGCAAGATCATTGGGACTTCTGGAGGTAGGCGTAATGATGTGAACTAGTGCAACATGCCACAAAAACTACAAGAACTGCTCAACCCAGACGCTTGCCACGAACAACACGAATAGTTCCAACCATCATATGGAGATCAAACAGAACCACCAATACTTCCCAGTGAAATAGAAAAGGCACTCAAGACCAGCCCCATGAACAAAGCCCAGGACTAGATGACATCACAGTGGAAGCCATAAGAGTTTGTGGAAACACCGGTATACTGTGGCTGACGCGAATTTTAGCCTGGGAACAAAGAAAATGCCGAGAAGACTGGCAAAGCCATAGTGGTACCATAATGGAGAGAAAAGGCAACAATCGCGACAGCACAACATATAGAGGCATCTCGTTGTTAAGTCACTCAGGAAAAACTCAGGCAAAGTTACTATAGTAGCGCATAAGACCTATTGTATAGAGAAATCTGAGCAAAGCTCAGTTTGGATTCCGAAAGGGAAGAAGATGCACGGATGCCGTATTCGCATTACGACAGATATGCGAGAAAACAATCCAACTCAACAAAGATTCCAACATCGTCTTTATAGACCAGGAGAAGGCCTTTGACAGAGTAAACCATGCATAACTCAGGAAGACACTAGAAAAGTATGGCTAAGAGGACAAATGTTAGATAATGTCAGAACTCTATATACCAACAGCAAAAGTTCAGTAAGAACGAAGGAAGGCAATACAGACTGGTTCAAAGTAAGTTCTGGAGTTCGACAGGGATGCGTTCTATCTCCGCTCCTGTTTATAATATATATGGACTCAATAACGCAAGACGCAAACCAAAGCCCAGAAAGCCTAAATGAATTTCTGTTCGCAGACGACCAATGTCTTATTCATCATGACCAACAAAGCCTCCAAAATCACACGACCGAATTCAACAACACCTGTGAGGAATTCAACATGAAAATAAGCACATCAAAAAGAGAAGTTATGAAAGTGATCAGAAACCATAGTCCCCTGAACATCCATGTCAATAGTAAACAACTGAAACAGGTGAAGGAGTTTAAATATCTTGGCAGCACTTTTTCTGAAAACGGGTCCATAGACAAAGAAATAGAAATGCGAACTCAAAAAGCCAATGCTGTCACCTACCAGCTCGCACCCCTCCTATCTCATCCAAACATCTCTGTTGACACAAAGAGGCAGCTTATCACCTCAATATTCATACCAACATTATGTTCTAAGTACCAGACCTGGACCTTAAGTAAAATCACCGCTTGCGAAATAAAATGTCTCCGCAAAACCCTTAATAATCACAAGACTAGACAGGCAGAGAAATGAAGAAGTAAGGGGAGCTATCGTCAATGAGTCCTGGCTGCGTTACATAGAAAGACAGAGGATAAAATGGTTTGGCCACCTGTTACGCAAGTCACCTGACCAGCCAGCCTCGAGAGCCTACAACACCAAGCACTCGGGATGTAAAGGAAGAGGAAGGCCACGCAAAAGGTGGATCGAGGGTGTCAAGGAAACACTAAGAAAACAACTGAAAGAGCTGCAGAGCTGGCCTACCATAGAAAACTGCATCTCCCCTCGACGCTTAACGGCAACAGAGGATGAAAAAGTAAAAGTAAGTAAGTGAGATAACTATACAAAGGCTGTCTATAAGGAAACCCCACCCTTCCGCCTATTTTCTCACGAAAGAACTCCATACTGTATGGTGTACAGTGTGTATCGCTTCGAGAGCTCATGGTTGGGTGGATCCTTGTGTTTGGCCACCACTGACGATTACGAACGACGCGTTAAAATGTGCAAAGGGGGACATAATATTATAGTTCTAGAGCATTGGTTCTAGGGGTTCCAGGATTTAGAAAAATACTATAAGATAAAAGAAATAGGGTTTAAATGTTCCAGGGCTGGAAAAATGTAATTCTAGAAAGAAAAGGAAGGGAACAAAAACAAACCAATTTAATTTTCATATTCCTTAGATGATCTTTAAAATTGGGGCATTTTTATAAAAGCCATTTCTGTTTTCGAAAATAGGTTTCTTATATTTTATGTCAAACAAATTCCTTTTGAATAAATTATATAATATGTTCCAAATTACAACATTCTAAAACACATTTTGTGCCAGATATTCAGAAAAAAGTTGCAAGTTGTCTTTCTGCAATCACCCTATACACGAAAATCTGTTTCAGTTTGAATGTAGTACAGGGTTGGGAAACAGCTGATGGTGTTGTGATGTTGAGA